CAAGACAGGCAAAAACACCACTACACAAGGACTAATACCAAACCTTGGCAGATCCCGAACAAAGGAACAAAGGAAGTCAAACACATCCTTTGATGATACACCAACTGTACCCAAATCATTAGTCCCTAGTTCAATTATCAAAATAGAGGGCTGTACTCTGGCAATCATACGGTAATAACGACAACGATTGGCATTAATGTGACTTAGTGTCAATCCTCCTTCCCCCAAACCAGAAAGAGGTACTCTTTCCCTCTCTAAATCTATATTTACTGTTGCTTCTCGCCTTCCTGAGAAACGCCTAACAAAACTGTGTCCAAATAACACAAATCCCATAATGGTAATGCTGCTAGAGGGTATCTCCCCCTCTTCAACTCGAGCTTCAAACAATTTGTCTATATAAATCATGCACTCTATAATCTTTAGATTTACATTCTTCTGGAACTGAGTACATTTTGTAATTTCAAAACCCAACTGGTAATGCTTATTTACCAAGTGGTACATCATGTACATGCATACACCGGCCTGAGCCGCATGGACCATTTCCAGGTGAGAAGTAGAGCAAGGCGACCACATGGGGTCGGACTCACTCACAGGAAGACTGGATACCCCAAGTCTCTTCCACAGAGTATGTCCGAGTCCTATGCAGCCACAGGCTAAACCCTCACACCAAGACAATTTCAGAACAGAACAGGGCAGCCTGTGTGGGTTTGAATGAACACCCTTAGTTCTTCTCCGTGATGTTCTCCGAGGTTGTTCGTGATCTAATTCTGAGACCCTATGGGGCTCCCCTACTTTATTATCCTGTACCCCTCGGTCAACTGCTGAGTTACTTGGTTCAGACTTGGTCACAATAAAGTCGTTTTCGGACTCATCACTACTCTCAAAGTCATCGCCAGACTCTGGATCTGCAAGTGGATCCACTCGTAAATATTTACGGTTGACCGTCTTCTCCGGTCCTCCATTCATTGGTCGAATGCGATATACATCTCCGTGGACCTTCTGCCATGCCACTACATACGATTCTCTACCGTACGCGTCTTCTAGTTTGTGACGGCCCTTGAACGCGCATTTCCTTAAAAGAACTCGTGAACCCGCTAGTAAAGGTGCCGCAGTAGCTCTGTTACTATGTGCGTTTTCGTTCTGACGTGCTCTTTTCTCTACCCTCTCTTTTACCAAGGCCCCTACTCTCTCAAGCAGCTCCGATTGTTCCCTGACAAAATTCTGTTCCCAATTACTATCTTTCCGACCCACAATTTGGTCCAATGGAATCAACGGTTCCCTTCCGAACAATAATGTGAACGGGGTTACGCCGGTGGTGGAGTGAGGTGTGGAATTGTAAACAAAAACAAGGTGTGACAAAAAGTCAGGCCATCGTTTGCGCTCGTGTTCGCTGAATGACTTGATCAATCATCAAGGTTCTATTGAATCTTTCCGCCTGCCCATTTCCTTCCGGGTGATACGGCGTCGTTCGTGACTTTTTGATACCATAAAAAATGTGCATAGTTCACGGACCAATTCCCCCTCAAAATTCCTACCCTGATCACTATGCAATCTGTTTGGGATGCCGAATCTCGTAAACCAACTGTCTCTGAGCACCTTAGCGACAGTTTCGGCACATTGGTCCCTACATGGTACAGCTTGAGTATATTTCGTGTACACATCGGTCATAACAAGAATATCCTCGTATCCACCACGACCCCTGTCAATCTTAACAAAGTCAATGGCCAAAACTTCCAAGGGCCTGAAAGCCAATAAGTGACACATCGGAACCTTTGGAATGGGTTCGGACACCTTCGCCGCCACACAACGTTCACATTTCCGTATGTGAGCCCGCACATCTGCGGTCATGTTCGGCCAATAAACGCGCTTGCGCAAAAGCGAACACGTTCGTGCAACCCCCTGATGACCCCAACCATCGTGGCAGCCTTCCATAGCCCTAGAGCGAATGGTCTCGGGCATAAGTATTTGAAATACCTCCCCAACCACAGGATCTTCAACCCTTCGACACAGGACACCGTCTCGTACCGCAAAGCGCGACCACTGCCACAACCAATGCTTCCACCCGGGTGGATCTTCCCGATCACCGTGTACTACTTCTCCCAGTGACCAACTCTGGTCCCAGCGTTCCCAAACAATACTCAACAATGGATCAGACCTTTGAAGAGCTAAAAGCTGCTCACTGGACCAGGACGAAAAAACTCCTGGCGGACCGGATTCTAACGGCTTATCCTTCGTGAACGCGCACTTGGAATTACATGCACCTACATGTAATGGAACTGAAGTTGAATGTGTCTTCGTTTGAAGAACACCTTCAACTACCTCCGAGGAGCAGTTTCTCGGATGCCGGCTTTAAGCATCCGCACAACGATTGCTGGCGCCTGACCGATACTTAATGTCAAAGCTGAACGCTGCAAGCTGTGCTGCCCATCTCATTTCACTGGCACCCAACTTAGCTGTGTTCAGGTGTGCCAACGGATTATTATCCGTTAAAACTGTGAATGTGCTGCCGATCAAATAGTCTCGAAATTTATCCACGACTGCCCACTTTAAGCCCAGCAACTCAAGCTTGAACGAACTGTAATCTGGGTATTTCGACTCTGCACCCCTTAAACCCCTACTCGCATAAGCGACAGGATGAAGCCTCCCCTCGTTATCGCGCTGCACCAAACAAGCACCCAGCCCCTTTAAGAAAGCATCAACTTCAAGCACAAAGGGTCGCGTAAAATCAGGATAGGCCAAGACAGGATTTTTTCCTCTGGACACTTGGACTCCGAAAAATCGAACAGCGAGGTGGGGGGGGGGGTGTTCCATCTTCCAATGGGGGCGCTGTTCACCGTTTTCACGAAGGGGCGAATTTCACAGCCACTGGGGCGAATTTGCTAATTTATGGTTTTTTCGTTTTCACGAAGAGACACTTCTCTTAATTGATTAATTCTGCAAAACTTATCACCTATTTTTCTGAAACTTTGATACATTTAGGAAGATTAGAATCTCTTCTCCTTAGAATCTCTTCTTTCCTCTGATACCTTTATCTTGCTATTCTATGCTATTACTGTTAACTGAAAAAGGGACCAACTTAAAACGTGTTTTTCTTGAATGTTTGTTAAGACTGTGAAAGGCTACATTCGCCTCTTCGTGAAAACAGTGACGATACGTAATTAGCAGTGACGTAACTACGGGGGGGGGGGGGGGGGGGGGGCACGTGCCCCAAGCGGATGTCCGTGCCCCCCGAGTGCCCCCCCCCCATTTTAAATATTAAAATGAACCAAAAATTACACACCGCACTTTGGAAATGAGCACTTGGACTGGTGTTCATAAAAGTAATGTATCAACGTACGCGTACGCCGCCAATGTATTTACACTTTTTTTCATGCCAAAACTCAGCGGCGGCGGAACGGTTTTCCAACTGGGGGAATAAATAACCAAAAAGGGGCACTTGCTCAGTAAAAGGCATCTTCCGTCGGTGCAGCAGCGTATCCGGCATTTTTTTTTGGGGGGGGGGAGGGCTGGTAGCTTCTTCCAAAACAGGGGGCGCTCTTAAAACCGGCCATTATGCAAACTACGCATCATGCATTACCCATTTTCAGGGCGCATTGTAAGGGTTTTAGTGCTTGGTTTTCATATTCCCCGTTCATATCAGAACTCTCTATACCATTTTGGACAATGGTTACTGAAAACGCATTATCCGAAATGTTATGGGAAGGTTCTGTTTTAATCACGAGGGGGCACATTAATGCTCGAGGGGCACATTTATGCTCGCGAGAGGGGCACTTGGGTAAATCTGGGTAAAACGCCGCAATAATTATGCATGGTTGTATAATGTCGAATGCATGCACTGTGAATTGCACGAACACATCGAGTTCGCCGTTAATTAATAGTTGCAAGTTTTGAAACAGTGAATGCCATACTAGTACTGAGCGGGTAGGCCTATTCGCAAGAAATTTCTTCCCCTTGAGTATGCTCTTCATAGGCTGATTTTTGTAGCTGTTCATAATTTCATTAATACATACATTCATTCTTGGGAGTGTGCTATTTGAGGTATATAGTTGCTGGCCCTGCTCCAAGTATATTGAGAACAAAATCCACTGTTTCAGTTATACGAAACTATTATATAACGTTAGTTAGAGATAGCTAGAGTAACTCGAGCGTATATGATCATCGGGAATCCGACAAATATAACGCCGGAGTGCGAACTTTGTTTTATCCGTAGGTTCGAAATGGTTGGACGACGTCTTCATTGCATTACGACTGACAGTCGTGTGTACGGAGTCCAGCCTGGGCTAGCGGGGTCCCTAACTCCCTACAGGCATGAGAATTTTCCTGTAAACAGGAATTCATGTATTTTTTTGTTGCCCAAATTTCCGCCTTTTATGTATTTTTTCCACATCTTTTTCCTTTTTTTTGCACAAGTTTCCTTTTTTCATTGAAATTTATTCTCATGCCTGTTAACAAAGGGAGCTTAACTCCCTGTGGTTTGTGTTTCAGTATAACAGCTACAGCATTTACGATTTTATGCATGTAGACCTTTACAGTCCAAAAACGAAAAAGGCAAGCCGCAGTTCAATTACTTTTAGTGTGCCCCCTTGAAAAAAGTGTACACCCCAAGGAGACCCCAAGATGTTTCACCCCAGTTACGCCCAGGGTAATTAGTATGGCTATGAACCCCCGTCCTCTGAATCTGCGCCTGCCCTGAATATACGAGGGTTCGCGTGGGCCAATAGACCGTTCGCTATCAGGATAACCAAACTAGATGGAATCTGTCCATCACAATGGGGTAGGGTTCAATAACTCAGATGAATGCACACCCTTGTTTAATTTTTTTCTACGATATTCTTTATGCACAGTAATTTTTGTATCAGCAACAAAACAATTCATAAAGAATAAGATATTAATAATTATAATGTATATGTCTTCCCGATGGATGTACCTTTATTTCTTGTTAGGATAGCTTCAATCCAGTGGCGTAAATCCGGGGGTGGGGGGGGGGGGGTGGAGGGGGGGGGGCGTTATCTATGTATGTGAGCCGATTTACTGATTAATTATGCAAGACAACCACCTCTAGATTTTGACCAACCTGTCCAGCGGGCGCTTTCTATATTGGGTCTCGTTATGGAGATCTATAAATAAAACAAAGGCACCCTGTGAATTGAATCACGTGCTCAGTTTTATTTCAGTCATCCCCCACCCCTCTTGTCCCTGGCACAGATTTACGCCACTGCTGCAATCAATATTTGACCGACTGGATGCACGGGTCCACACGTAAACACTCTTAACAGAAAACATATTAACTGAATGCAAAGCAGAATGAACAATACCAATAATAACCAGTATCCTATAAACCCAAACAAATGTATGAGGGAATAACATTTAAACTACAATGACATGCATGATAACGTTTCCCGTAAACAAGCTTATAAGAGAGAGAGAGAGAGAGAAATAAATGAAATCATTATCATGATAATAGACCCACAACAATGGGTATTCCACTTAGCTTCTGTGAATATTTTTATTTTATGTACTTTCTCTATCTTAGCAGTCCATTATGATACCATACTGAACATGGACACAGGGTCCTTTCTGATGAGAGAGACGTCAGCTCACTGGCTGAAGTTAATCTGCAAAGAACCAAAAGAAAAGTCAACATTAATGGAGATGTATCTGCTTGTAGACCTTCATTACAATTATATCAAAGACAATACTATCAGTGGCGTATGTTAGCAGTTGGCAAGCGAATTACTTTTTTCTGTACACTAAAAATTTGCCTGGGTTAAATTTTAAGCTAAATTTTGGGTAACGGAATTCGGGTTATTGGGTTAAAGCAATCTGAATAACCCAATTTTTGTTCAATGTGCACATTTTTCTGGGTTGAAATGACTTAGTTAAAAATCTTGGTAAATTATTTCGGTAATAGTTTTGGGTTAAAGTGTTTGTAAATAAGCAAGAATAGCGCCACTTCGTGGCGAGATTCAGAAGGGCGTGTTTTTGTCAAAATTAAGGGGACGGAAAAGTGGCCGGATACGGAAGGTGAGAGCATCAATTTCCTTCCCTCGCGGTACAAAATCACGATCCTTTCCAGCTGAGCTATTGCACTGCTCGACAAATCCTGGAAATGCATGGTAATATATACCTGCGTATATATTAAAAGTATTAAAGTATCGTAAAGGGCGCTCAACAGCCATGTGACGCGGATGTTGTTTGGGAAAAAATAATTCGCGCCCCGCCCGATGACATTTACACGGGCCACCCTTTCAAACCAAAAACCCATTTCCCCACGACCAAAAATCTATTTAAATACCTTCGCAGCTAGTCCTACAAGCCTCCATGGTTTCAAAACGGTTGCCGTTGCCCTGGCAACCCCCGTAGATGAAGCGTTCGCACGATTGTGTGTCTTGATTATAACCGAAACTTGGAAAGTAAGCCATGCAAGGGCCTGTTATGATTGGGTCCAGGCAAGCCGAGTCTGAAATGGCAAAGTGGAACTTGACATAAATGACAAAAACAAGAATCAGATTGTAAGGCGTGGCTTAAAGAAGGGACGCTAGAAAATCCTTCTGAAGAAAATATCGCAACCGAAGCTAACCAAGAAAATGTGATATTAGTTTGTTTCATCTTGTAGAAGGAAACCCTTTTCCCACGCCATCGACGGACGAACCTAATTTTGGTTCGTCTCGTCGATAGTGCCCTCTACCTTTGATGTCGTTTGGCTGTGCTTGCCTACGCCCAGGGCGCGCTAGAGATCGACTGTACGTAGACGAGCATAAATCAAATTCAGTATTGAGCCAAGACTAATCAAGACAGGGACTCCAGACTCGAACTGGGTATTGACCCAAGTGACGTCATTACAACTCTTTAATATGCATCGAATAATAATTGTCTCTCAAGTTGAAGTTTAAAAGTTAGTCCTACCTTATTGTTTGGGAAAAAATAATTCGCGCCCCGCCCGATGACATTTACACGGGCCACCCTTTCAAACCAAAAAAACCATTTCCCCACGACCAAAAATCTATTTAAATACCTTCGCAGCTAGTCCTACAAGCCTCCATGGTTTCAAAACGGTTGCCGTTGCCCCAGCAACCCCCGTAGATGAAGCTTTCGCACGAGTGTGTGTCTTGATTATAACCGAAACTTGGAAAGTAAGCCATGCAAGGGCCTGTTATGATTGGGTCCAGGCAACCCGGATCTGAAATGGCAAAGTGGAACTTGACATAAATGACAAAAACAAGAATCAGATTGTAAGGCGTGGCTTAAAGAAGGGACGCTAGAAAATCTTTCTGAAGAAAATATCGCAACCGAAGCTAACCAAGAAAATGTGACATTAGTTGCGTTTGAAAAACCCAATCTTTGTTCAATGTGCACATTTTTTTGGGTTGAAATGACTTAGTTAAAAATCTTGGTAAATTATTTCGGTAATTGTTTTGGGTTAAAGTGTTTGTAAATAAGCAAGAATAGCGCCACTTCGTGGCGAGATTCAGAAGGGCGTGTTTTTGTCAAAATTAAGGGGACGGAAAAGTGGCCGGATACGGAAGGTAAGAGCATCAATGTCCTTCCCTAATTGCGGTACAAAATCACGATCCTTTCCAGCTGAGCTATTGCACTGCTCAACAAATCCTGGAAATGCATGGTAATATATACCTGCGTATAATTATATTAAAAGTATTAAAAGTATCGTAGAGGGCGCTCAACAGCCATGTAACGCGGATGTTGTTTGGGAAAAAAATAATTCGCGCCCCGCCCGATGACATTTACACGGGCCAAAAAAACCCAAAATTTCCCCACCACCAAAAATCTATTTAAATACCTTCGCAGCTATTCCTACAAGCCTCCATGGTTTCAAAACGGTTGGCGTTGCCCAAGCAACCCCCGTAGATGAAGCTTTCGCACGATTGTGTGTCTTGATTATAACCGAAACTTGGAAAGTAAGCCATGCAAGGGCCTGTTATGATTGGGTCCAGGCAACCCGGGTCTGAAATGGCAAAGTGGAACTTGACATAAATGACAAAAACAAGAATCAGATTGTAAGGCGTGGCTTAAAGAAGGGACGCTAGAAAATCTTTCTGAAGAAAATATCGCAACCGAAGCTAACCAAGAAAATGTGACATTAGTTGCGTTTGAAAAACCCAATCTTTGTTCAATGTGCACATTTTTCTGGGTTGAAATGACTTAGTTAAAAATCTTGGTAAATTATTTCGGTAATTGTTTTGGGTTAAAGTGTTTGTAAATAAGCAAGAATAGCGCCACTTCGTGGCGAGATTCAGAAGGGCGTGTTTTTGTCAAAATTAAGGGGACGGAAAAGTGGCCGGATACGGAAGGTAAGAGCATCAATGTCCTTCCCTAATTGCGGTACAAAATCACGATCCTTTCCAGCTGAGCTATTGCACTGCTCAACAAATCCTGGAAATTCATGGTAATATATACCTGCGTATAATTATATTAAAAGTATTAAAAGTATCGTAGAGGGCGCTCAACAGCCATGTAACGCGGATGTTGTTTGGGAAAAAAATAATTCGCGCCCCGCCCGATGACATTTACACGGGCCAAAAAAACCCAACATTTCCCCACCACCAAAAATCTATTTAAATACCTTCGCAGCTATTCCTACAAGCCTCCATGGTTTCAAAACGGTTGGCGTTGCCCAAGCAACCCCCGTAGATGAAGCTTTCGCACGAGTGTGTGTCTTGATTATAACCGAAACTTGGAAAGTAAGCCATGCAAGGGCCTGTTATGATTGGGTCCAGGCAACCCGGGTCTGAAATGGCAAAGTGGAACTTGACATAAATGACAAAAACAAGAATCAGATTGTAAAGCGTGGCTTAAAGAAGGGACGCTAGAAATTCTTTCTGAAGAAAATATCGCAACCGAAGCTAACCAAGAAAAAGTGACATTAGTTTGTTTCATCTTGTAGAAGGAAACCCTTTTGTATAGGCCCATGCATGTCACAAATCTCACGCATCATGGTGTTTACTATGGTATTCATGGCCTGCTATAACCAACAACATAATACAAAACAACTAGAGATACGCGTTAGTTGAATTACAAACGCACAGTGATTGAATTACAAACTATTTCATTGGACATTGCCCAGTTGTGAATATTTTGTCAGAACAGTCGAACAAAGAAAGCATTAAAAAACCAGCCATTTTCGTGGAACCATATCTTTTAATTTGAATATAAAATGCATCCTTTTAGGTTCGATACAATTCAAACGCAGTGATTGGGCTCGCATCTATTTCACGGATCTTTGTCCAGTCATTGAAGTCGTGAATATGTTACAGAAAAAGGATCAGTAAAACGATTTCTTTTATTTTGAAAATAAAGTGCATTTGGGGTTTTATAAATTTTAGTATACATTTTATTTACACGTACACCTTAATTCCTGTTTGATGACGTCATCAGTTTCAGTGTAAAAAGTACATATTGATTTAGTGCATGTATAAGTAGCACCTAACCTCCACTTCGATGACCTCACAACAATTTGAAAGCCCAAAGTCGACATTGTACCGGATATCATACTTGTGCTTCGATAAAATGTCATTAGACACGGATAAAATGATGAATTTGAGTATAAAAAAGGAATTCTGATCATTTTAAAATTCTCCCTTAAATAACTCCTAGTCTGATGACGTCATGATTCTGAAACCTTGCAAGGTCATTTGCTCGACAAATCCTGGAAATTCATGGTAATATATACCTGCGTACGTATCATAAAAGTATCGTAGATGGCGCTCAACAACCATGTAATGCGGATGTTGTTTGGGAAAAAATAATTCGGGCCCCGCCCGATGACATTTACACGGGCCACACTTTCAAACCAAAAAACCATTTCCCCACCACCAAAAATCTATTTATTATAAATACCTTCGCAGCTAGTCCTACAAGCCTCCATGGTTTGAAAACGGTTGGCGTTGCCCCAGCAACCCCCGTAGATGAAGCTTTCGCACGAGTGTGTGTCTTGATTATAACCGAAACTTGGAAAGTAAGCCATGCAAGGGCCTGTTATGATTGGGTCCAGGCAAGCCGGGTCTGAAATGGCAAAGTGGAACTTGACATAAATGACAAAAACAAGAATGAGATTGTAAGGCGTGGCTTAAAGAAGGGACGCTAGAAATTCTTTCTGAAGAAAATATCGCAACCGAAGCTAACCAAGAAAATGTGACATTAGTTTGTTTCATCTTGTAGAAGGAAACCCTTTTCCCACGCCATCGACGGACGAACCAAATTTGGTTCGTCTCGTCGATAGTGCCCTCTACCTTTGATGTCGTTTGGCTGTGCTTGCCTACGCCCAGGGCGCGTTAGAGACCGACTGTACGTAGACGAGCATAAATCAAATTCAGTATCGAGCCAAGACTAATCAAGACAGGGACTCCAGACTCGAACTGGGTATTGACCCAAGTGACGTCATTATAACTCTTTAATATGCATCGAATAATAATTGTCTCTCAAGTTGAAGTTTAAAAGTTAGTCCTACTTTGAGCAGCAATGGTAGACTGGAAGACACATCCAGCACACGCAAGAAAAGTCAGAATGGCGTACACCTTCATATTTGTGCTAATCGTCTGAAATTGAAATAACATTACACAACTTGTTATAACTACATGTAATACGCCTGGTCGGTGTCCTTTTTATTGCACTTTATATCCATGCAACCCAATAAAAATGCTAACATCACTTTTTTCAAGGCAGTAAAGGGGTAATGGATGGCGCTTTTCACTGAGAAGCATTTTGGTCGACGATGCATCTGTAAGATTTTCAAAACGTTGAATTTTTTTTAATGAGTTTTCAAACATTAAAAAAATGGATATCATTTCTTCCTTTTCCCCACGAGTTAAAAAGTGTTGCTTCAACAAGAGCCTAACAATTAGTTCAGCCCCCACAACAACCGCAAACACACAAGTTCGGTAAGATTTTCCAATTATTCGCGCATGCGCACATGCAAACACTCAAAGGAAGAAGCACCAACAGTGCCGTAGCAAAGGGAACACGCATATTTGGGATTTTAGCTCTGTATCGAATGAAAAACCTCCCGAATCAATGGAAGTAAAAAGAAATGCAGTCAAAGCAGAGGGACAAACGGAAAATTGAATAATGCTGCATTGTTTTGTTACGGAGGCAAGAACAAAATCTGATATTCCGTGCTTTCTTCAAGGACCTTCCACGGATATTTTTTTTCGCTGCGATTATATCAGTGTTCTCAATGCGATGACTTTTGATCAGACTGGTTTTCGAGTCACCAAACATCGAGTCGGAGTCCAAGTCCTGAGTCATGCAGGTGGAGTCCGAGTTCGAGTCACGAGTCACTAAGGTGGAGTCCGAGTCCGAGTCACGAGTCATCATAAAATATATATTGGAAATGTAAAATGTGAGGTACTGTCGAAACCTAACAGTGTAAATGTTTTTCCATTTTTCAGAGCTGTTCTCTAATAATGAACCGGAACTACATGCATAACATGTCAAATACGGCAAGGCACCAGTGTCTGGAAAGGAATAATCTGGTGCCGAACGCTATCAATGTTGCATTTACGCAATATCAAGTGTGGACGGTGGGGCACATGTTTCGATACATTCAATTCTGAAATGAATATAATAATCAGAAACAAACCAGCCGCATGCACGCGTTGTGTATGTACAGTACTAAGATGCGTTTCTTTTCTGCACAACACTGACGGTATCGGTTGCTCAGGAGAGAATCGTCTCCAAAATAGTTTGTTATTATATTGTTGACAAAAATAAGTGATTTCTCGTAAGTTTGTTTGAGTCCTGAGTCAGGCAGGTCGAATCCAAGTCCAAGTCTGAGTCCGAGTCACGAGTCGTACAAGTCTGCTTGTTATCCTAGCGCGGAGAGTTATTTAATACGGTCATGACAATAGTCGTGTCCCCGCTACACTTCGTAAAATCCGCATGCAGTGAAGACGACAACGTACGGTAAATTTTCACCATGAGGCAAAAAAAAAAACTGGTCTCCGGTTTCTGGTATGGAGCTTGCCCCCAAAGTGGTGCGGCGACGTTTCCCCCCTTTTTTTTCCCTTTCAAATGTCGGCTGATGTTGCAGATGACGCTTCGATCCCCTTAAAACTCTTTAAAAATATCATTCAGAGTGGAGCTTGAGGTGACCTCAGTGAGGTCAGAATTCTGCAGCTACTTACGATCTCGACCGACACAAACATTCTTTGGGAAATTTGGATAGTCAAGACAAACATCTATGAAAACGGTAACCTCCGACCATACAGCGACAGCGACATCGTTCATGTCCTGCCACGCTGGTCATTAATCTGCTCCCTTACATGTAGCGCTGATTAAAAAGCGTTTACAGGTTACAGATACATGACCATAAGATCGCTCCCCCAGTCTGGCTTTCAGACGCACAATCACAAAATGACAACACCGTCTGCAAATGGTGCCCAACTTAATTTAGTACAACATATATGGTAGCCCAGAGAGGCCACATAAAGCTTATATTCGAGAGCAACCCCATCTAAAAACACGTTAGAATTGTTTGGCAGCAGGCTTCCAGTCAAACCAGTGAGTTTGGCGGTTTTGAGACATTATCTTACATTGAAAAAAAACCAGTGAGTTTGGCGGTTTTGAGACATTATCTTACATTGAAAAAAATATTGGCGACGCGCATGGCTACGGCGCGCGCAAACCAGAAACCGGAGACTTTTTTGCCTAATATTCTTCTTGTTTGCCTCTCTTTTCACCCGTTTAGCTGGGTATGGTTACTGATTTAATTCTAGATTTCCTAAGTTCTTTAGAAAGCGATTTCACTATTTGACACAAGCGACCAAAACGTTTGAATTCCTACTCCCACGCAATAATGCTTGTATTTCCTGCATCGAAAACTTGCATTTGCTTATACGTGCATACCTTCATCCCGGCCACAAGGGTTTTCGGTCTAAATGCATTGGTGCAGGCCTATATGCCAGTGTGTAGTAGAGTACATTTACATGAGTACGAGTACGAGTACCAATGTACTCGAGTACAAGTACAAGTACAAAATATGAGTTTTTTCCACAAGGAACACATTTCAATATGTCACGTGCTTTCAATGGCTCTGTGCAATCAAACTAGGCAGTTAGCAAATGCAAAAACCTCCCAAACAGTAGGAAGCTGTTTCTTTTTTATGCATATAGCTCTTTTTGTAATTCTCGCGGGAGAACAATTGTCATGAACACGAGTACGAGTACGAGTACAGGTATTTTTTTTCTGATGAGTACGAGTACATACGAGTACGAATACCAAAAATCTACTCGAGTACGAGTACGAGTACTACAATACAACTATAAACTGTATAGGCCCATGAATGTCACAAATCTCACGCATCATGGTGTTACTATGGTATTCATGGCCTGCTATAATCAGAAACATAATACAAAAACAACTAGAGATATGCGTTTGTTGAATTACAAACGCACAGTGATCGGCAGAAAACTATTTCATTGGACATAGCCCAGTTGTGAATATTTTGTCAGAACAGTCGGAACAAAGAAAGCATTAAAAAATCAGCCATTATTGTGGAACCATATGTCCTGTTGTCCTGTTGGTAGTCCCAGAAGAGAGATCAGACGACTTTGATGTCAGTAATCAAAAATGGTTCCCTAATGACGTTTCATCAGATCACATGAACATGATCGCATATTTTGTTCATATTTTGTTCATTGTTCGTATTCTGAACAAATATCGCTTATAATTTGTTATCTGATGACGTAATCATGACGTCAAAGTAATATGCGATCACTCAATAATGAATTAAAAAGATCACTTACTGACTGCAGTTTGTTGTTAGAACTGAAGATCGTTGACGTAGATGAATGATGAACAATGGAATGACTTTCTGGAACCGGGACACCTTTATAAATATTCTGCAGTCGAGAAGGTTGTCGTGATTATGTACGTGACTATACAAGTGTTATTTTACGGAGGCCTGTTAAATCCAGAAACGTCTATCTCTTTCACAGCGGTGCGTTCCACTTTCGCGGTGGTACGTTTCTTTTTCATGGTAGTAGCTAGCCCCTCTCTTTCAGAACGTGTGTCTCTCTCTTACACGGGGCAAGTCCATTTTTCATAGGGGTGTATTTCTCTCTGAGTGTGATTAACTTGCGGCCGCGACTATTTATCTCGCGGCCGCTACTCACCAACTCACGGCCGCGACTTAGTTATCTCTCAGCCGCGAGTTATTATGTCGCGGCCGCGAGTGAATCACATTTAGAGAGAAATGCACCACTGTGAAAAACGACTTTCCCCCTTGAAAGAGAGAAACGCACGTTCCGAAAGAGAGGCTATTACCATGAAAGAGAATAGCACCACCGCGACAGAGAAACGCACCGCTGTGAAGGGAAAGAGGTACCTGGCCTTCAGGTATGGGGTCCCTTACCGCCCAGTTCCCAGACGGTCTGGGCCAAGCCCCGCCCGCTCTGACCAAGGGATTGGGACTCCGCTCCAAAGTGGGCGGGCTCGGATTAAGAGAACTAAGTACAAGTCTGACTGGCGGACCCTCTCCTGAACCTAACAAAAGAAGAAAAGAAGCAATTTGCAAGGTGATAATCCTCACTGCCGTGTAACAAAAATCCGGCAAATCAAAGGGCGCGCCGCCGGTAATCCCTCCCGCGGACTGCCATAGTTGGTGACCCATTGCCCTGGTAGGCCTATTGAAAAGTTTGAACGATCAGTCAACAAGGGTTTCTCCCCTTAAATGTATACAAATGTATATGTACTTTCACCGATGAATCCCTGAATCTGACTTTTCAAGCAAACGGGATTGGTATTTTTTTCAGTATTAAGATCAGAATTCCTCAGTTTGTTCTATTTACGTGCATTTATTAATTTTTTTCGTTCCGCAGATAGTCCAAAGGCAGGAAAGGGAAAGAGGTATACCGATGATAAACAATAATAAAGATGGAGAGCTTTCAACCTTTGATTTTTTTTCGTCTTTGCGTTTTATTGTTGTTAGTACCATTACCTTTATTTTTTCCCCTTGATCTATTCTGATGGTGGTGTGAACATTTCTTCGTGATGATGATAAAAGCCACGGAAGATCATTAATTACACAGAAAACTATTTGTAAAAAAGCATAAAAAATACCAACCCGTTTTCAAGCAAACGGGGTTGGTATTTTTTCAGTATTAAGATCAGAATTCCTCAGTTTGTTCTATTTACGTGCATTTATTAATTTTTTTCGTTCAGCAGATAGTCCAAAGGCAGGAAAGGGAAAGAGGTATACCGATGATGAACCATAATAAGATGGAGAGCTTTCAACCTTTGATTTTATTTTCGTCTTTTTCGTTTTATTGTTGTTATTACCATTTTACTAGTACCCAATGCTGGTTAAATGTACCCTTATTCAAGGCAGAATAAAGAGAAACTCTGCGTATTTAGTCTTTTTTTCATTATTAAATTCGATGGACTAAATTCAATTTTTCGATTGGCTACCACGAAAATCATGGATTCCCCCCCCCCCCCAACAAATTCGTCAAAAGTCTTAGAATAGAAATGAAATTTAATTTGAGCTGTCACGGTGCTCAGTTTAAGAAGCTGTTTAAGAAAAGCAGCCCTATGGTAGTTAGGTTCTTGGAGAGTCCATGATATGTATAGCACTGTATATTCGTTTCGATATCCGTCCCCATAGTGGCGTAAATCCGTGCCGACGCCTGGGGGAGTGACTCCCCCTAAAATGATAAAACCACCCCTACGTAGCAAAATTCAAAAAGCGGTTAGCGGGAGGGGGCTGAACACCATCCGTCACTATACGTAGCACTGCATGAAGACAGATCAGCGACATGAGTGCTATTGCTGTTTATGAGCATTTTACTTCATTTACCGACTTTATGAGTATACAGTATAGTAGTTGATATTTTCCTGTCGATTTTTTTAATTGGCTACAATTTTAGTTTCTATTTTTTTTTTTTTTTTTTTTAATATTCACTTCTTATTGGGGATGATCCAATGACCCACCCTTACCCTCAACAAGTTGGGGGTATCTCCCAGGGTCTGCACTGTTACCACCTTATAGAATGCAAGGAGAAATCCCGAGGTACCGAGGTTGAAAGAGAATCCAATGCAGTAATTAGTTCCCTTATCATTTCAGGGGAAAAACCTGCTGGTACATCATCCAAGACGCTTTGGGGGATCCCTGGGATCTTCACTTGGCGTCGGCTATATCCATGCATGATAATCTGCAAAGCCTTGTAATTATTTGACTGCACTGGTAAAGTCCTCTTAATTAAATAATTGTACTTCCTAAGGTAGAATTTGACCCATTCATTAAAAATGTTGATTGAAACAAAACGAATAGGGCGCGAGAGAAGATATTCACGTACAAAATAATGACCGAGTTAAAGAAGTTTGCCCGTGCTCTTAATGTTTTCCTTAACAAACTTTGAATGTGTTTGTTTTAATACTGTGTTCAGGAAAAACAGCTTTGTTTCCGATTTCAGGCGTCTGCAGCCCTCGCAAAAGGACGTTTTTGTTTTGCGTGTAAATGAACCCGCCCTCCAAGAGCCAAGTCATTGTCAAGCCGCAAATAATTCAAATTTTGTAAAAAAAATAATTCAATAATTAAACTTTGGTGGACTACCAAGTCTCATTCAAAAGTGAATAACCTTGATGTCGCTATAGGTAAAAAAGCATGAATAGTACATTTTTCCGGTTTCACACTCGAAATGGATGTTTAACGGCGTTTGGTTGATTTTTTTGCCATCGTAATAACATATATTTAAAACAGAGAAGTATTATTTTTTAAATAGTTTTTTAATGAAGAAAAGCCAATGCAAACAATGGCAATTAAATATACCATGTGCTTCCCCGGAGGCGTACCTGAAAAAATGAGGCTCTTCCACTCGAGGCTTATACCCCCGCCCCTCCCCCTGAATCTCTTACCTTCTTAGAACTTGTGGGACTAAAAGGAGCAGCCGCAGCGTTGGTATTGTTAAAAATTTAGTGCCCTACTTCAGGAACTGAGTCTCCTTAAAGCGTACACTATTTTCGGGTTGCAACCCCCCCCCCCCCAACAAAGCAACGTAAATAAACAACGAATAATATGGATGAGTACAAGCGTCGGGTGCGCGGAGGAAGGTCGTTAGGGTGAAAAACAATGGGTCAAAAGGTCAAATTCGGATTTTTTTTCGGGTAATAGATAGAGCATGGAAAAAATTTTCATTTGATTTAGATTTTCTCTCAAAGGGCTACGTAATACTGATGTAATTAACAGTACATCAAAAGTAGTCAGGACGTGTTTCTCTATTTGTTCCCGACAAACGGTCGTTAGCATGTAATTGTAATTAATGTAACAAAATATGTGCCAAGTGCGCTAACTTTTTTCTTCCAAAATGACTGGCCGGGCAATTTTCAAGATGGCCGCCAGCTTTTTTTTTAAATGGCCGCCACTTGGACTCAGGAAATGACAGCCAAGCTTTATATGGGCTAGATGGAACAGAGAAAAGGCGAAAATGATATAAATGTTTAAAATGTATAATTTTTGGTTTCTTCCCCCCCCCCTCCGAAAACAGAAAAAAAAGGAGGCGGCCTCCAAAAAAGAAAGCGGGCGGAACGCTAAACATTATTTTTATTTGCCTAACTCTATTTTAAATATGTGAAATGTGTGAAATGTCAATTTTCAGGCAGAAACCTCAACGTTACAGCTATTTCAGCAGCCACATTTTCTTTGGTGATTCGTTGTTGTTTAAAGTTCATGACAGTAATCTAAAGGGCACAATTTTCTCACACATGGTAGAAACTTCAATGTTACAGGTATTCCAGCACCAAAATTGTCAATTTGTTGTTGGACATTTTCCTCAGTAAATTTTTATGTCTTCGGTGGTTCGTTGCTGTCTAAATGCAATAAGCCAAATATTTGGACAATTTGAACAGAAAACCCTTAAATTGAACAGTGTCTTTCTGAATTTACATCACAGTTACAGCGCCCTTATTTGTCAGGAAAAGCATAGGAAATTTTAAATGTTAAAATGAAATTGTAATTTTCCAGTCATATGGTTGCTAAGGCCGATTTCAAAAGGTTACGTAACACTTCATTTTCATTTTAAATGAAACTACATGTACACACACATGGTTACGTTGGCGGGCGAAATCTTTGAAAATTAATTTCTCCTGTTTGGAAGACCGTATCTTCATGCGACTTTCAGGGTTTACTTCTCTAATGATGATCCAAGTATGTGCTAAAAATCGTTGTGATGTGTTCATTACTTTTCGTTGAAATTGGAAAAATAGACCTGGCTACGTGCACTTTTGAAAGTTGGTAGACTAGCGTTTGCAATATCTTTCAATTTTTTCAAGACTCACAAATATTAATGAGGTACCTATCCATTACGGTGTGCAGTATACCATTGCATGAAAGCCTCCTTCACGAGTTGTTAATTAACAAATATCACCCTTTTTGCCGGCTTCCATTGGTCGATCAGGGGAGAAACCTGCTGGTACATCAACCAGACGCTTTGGATCCCTGGACTCTAATTTCAATGTTCATATTTCCATTTGCAGGACATTTTGGTGCCTTTTTGGTTCTTATGCTCACGCAAATTTCCATATTCATTAGCAAAAGTGTGAAATGTCAATTTTCAGGCAGAAACCTCAACATTACAGCTATTTCAGCAGCCACATTTTCTTTGGTGATTCGTTGTTGTTTAAAGTTCATGACAGTAATCTAATGGGCACAATTTTCTCACACATGGTAGAAACTTCAATGTTACAGGTATTCCAGCACCAAAATTGTCAATTTGTTGTTGGACATTTTCCTCAGTAAATTTGTATGTCTTTGGTGGTTCGTTGCTGTCTCAGTAAATGCAATAAGCCAAATATTTGGACAATTTGAACAGAAAACCCCTAAACTGAACAGTGTCTTTCCGAATTTACATCACAGTTAGAGCGCCCTTATTTGTCAGGAAAAGCATAGGAAATTTTAAATGTTAAAATGAAATTGTAATTTTCCAGTCATATGGTTGCTAAGGCCGATTTCAAAAGGTTACGTAACACTTCATTTTCATTTTAAATGAAACTACATGTACACACACATGGTTACGTTGGCGGGCGAAATCTTTGAAAATTAATTTCTCCT